GTTGGATTATTACTGGCCGTGCTTAAAATGTTATTGTATAGCTGCATGGAATGAATGTGGTTTTATATTACTACTTACTTATATGTGTACCAAAATAAATTATCTGAAAATACTATACTGGGAAATAATATATAAATTTAAATGACTTAATGTGTATTTTGATTCTGATATGTTAAATGATATAATCAAATATAAGACTCGGTTAATAAAAGGTTTACATGACCTAACGATAAGTTTTTATGTTATTTTATATGTTTTATCATAGTGTTGCTAGCCAGGGGTCAGGGAACATTTTCATTTCAAAATTTTGATTAGCAATGTTTGCTAATATTGAAAATTGAGTAGCAATATCACATTTTTGTATAGCATTTTTTCCCCAAAAATTATCATCGAACTATTATGATTTTACAACATTCAAGGTCCATGCAGGCTTCCAAAAAGAAATTCATTCAAGAAAAGCCCATGATGAAGAAGTCCCACTACTTTAGATGATGAAGATGAACACAACATTGCAATTTATATTAAGATTATTTTGGACGATAGAGTAAATTTACATTTTAAATTCAATATTCTTTTTGTATGTATACAATATTAATTATTGGAGTATCAATTAATGCTGTTTATTTGGAATAATCTATGTGAACATAAAGAAAGAACTTCCTTCTCTATGATATGAACAGTAAAATTAATAAAGTACATAATGATGTCACAAAAATACAAGCGTTATGTTTTTACCACCACGATTAATGGGGATGAGTTGACTGGGCCACGGACGTCTGGGGATGAGTTAACATTGATAACAATGATAGGACAATAATGTTATCAAGAGAACAAAATGTCCTGATTATATTGTAAAAAAATTAAGGTTGAGTTGATCAAGTCAAAAGTTCATATTAGGCCTACTGTACTTGGCCGTGGTCAACCGACACCGAGGAATGTAATTTGATTCACTAGGCCTATTTTTTGTGTGGCAGACTTGCTTGACAATGACAGAATCAATCATTAATCGGCACAACATTACAGCAGATTACAGAAACCAGCAGTACGTACTTACAGTACCTGATTGAAAACCATTAATGCTAAAAAGAATCTTGCATGCTGGTCCTATTTAATAAATTAAGTACAGTATTTATAAACGAGAGTCAGGCCTAGCACTACCCTATCTAATCGTCATCTTGTTTATAATGCTGACAGGTTCCCAGTTGATAAGCTTCACTGCGCACCATTTCAAAACATCGACACACCATATACCACGAGGTTGGGTTTGAGCGTGAATCGAAATGCAGCGGCGGGCAGAAGGCCGTTCAACGAGAAGAGCCTGTCTGAGTGTTCTTTGATTTTCTTCCGACAGCACTGACGTGCGTGGAAAAAAAGAATCTTGCATGCTGGTTCTATTTAATAAATTAAGTACAGTATTTTTAAATGAGAGTCAGGCTTAGCACTACCCTATCTAATCGTCATCTTGTTTATAATGTTGACAGGTTCCCAGCTGATAAGCTTCATTGCGCACCATTTCAAAACATTGACACGCCATATGCCACGAGGTTGGGTTTGAGCGTGAATCGAATGCGGCGGCGGGCGGAAGGCCGTCAAAGAGAAGAGCCTGTCAGTGTTCTTTGATTTTCTTCTGACAGCACTGACGCGCGTGGAAAAATAACTGATAATTTTCACAGCAAGTTGTAACCTAGCAACAAAGCATGGTTGATGTGATTGAAAAACAATACAAACACAATGAGAAATATTTTATTGAAAACGAATGACAACTAAAACATGTAAGTTATAAAACATTCGGAGGCCTACGTCTGGCTAGGCCTATGGCCTAGTGTGAAAAACAACATGCAGGGATGAGGCTTTTCTTGGTTCGCAATGTTGTGCGACGCGGTTTCGTAATTGCGTAGCAATTGTTTATTATTGTGTAGCTATTTGCGATGCGATACTGGTGAAAATGTTCCCTGGGGGTTTAGACATGACCACTTTGTTGTGTTGGGCTTTAGCCCATGTCATCTCTAGTCAAACCCCTGGTCATTATACAGATATTTATATATGCTGTATATACAGTATATCGTGACAAATTTTTAATAAATAAATAATCAAATAGTTTGAAATACATACATTAACCAACATAGCAGTATCAAAACAGATTTAGATGATTTTGATAAATGGGCAAATGTTAATCACATCCAACCAATTACACGCATGGATGTTGCCTTGTGAAAACCCCTTTAAAGTTTTTACCACCAACATTATGCGGACAAGATCTGCAATGCGTAAAATGTGTCACAAATTACACGTGACCTAAAATGGGACGCTTTACATCGGTGACATTCTTAAGCGTGCAAGTGGTCGTATATTTCTAATTAGTATTTTAAGAAATGAAGTCTAACGAATTCCATAACTGGTTAGTGAAATTAGGATGCGAAGAAAGTGATATCTCCCTCAGAACAGCCAATTCACTACATGGACGGATCCAGAGATGTCCGAAAGGGGGAAGAAAGTGGGACCGATCAAGAGACAACACTAGCCTAGGGTGTCCAGGGGCATGCCCCTCAAAATTATTTTTTTTCAAAATGCCCGGAAATGACCTCTGATGTGTTTTGGGCAATCAATAATTTATTTTTCTTTCATTAATTTTTTTTTACTTTCCAAAAGGTGGGGAGTGGGGGCCGAGGCCTAAATCTGTGCCTGTTACTGTCTATGCCTATAGTATGGTCCATACCAAACGGCAGACTCAAAGCCCAATTCCCTTAAAAAATGTTGAATGAAAATAAAAATGTATTTATACTGTAGGCTTGTCCCGACTATCAGCTTTTTATATTGGCCTTGTATTTGATATTTCTGCTTGACTTTTTTATGTACCGTTATTTTTAGTACTTTCTATATGTAATTGGTTTTAGCCAACTTCTATTTTTTCTGTAAGTTCTTGATGTAAATATTTGCTGCTTGTTCAGCTTTTACTGTGACTGTGATATTGTTTTGAATAATCCTTGAATTATATAAAACAATGTACAGTGGTACTATATAAAAAATATACAGTATTTCAATTCATAATATAGCTATCCAGGAAGGAAGTTGTCAATGCCATTATAATTTTCTATTGACATGATCTTCATCTTTAAAATGGAAGCCACTGTCAAAATGCTCTCAACCTCTCAATGCATTGGTTTGTGTCTACAGTACAGTATATCAGTGAATAGCATTGAAAATGTCAGTTTCAAATAAAAACAAAAACTTGAAACCCATTTCATTTCAATTTTAAAATAGTAACCTAATTTCTGTCTTATTCTAGATAATAACACGGTAATGATATTACAAAATGATGGTATCTGGTGCTAATTCTAGTTCTAAATTAAACTGTCAATGTTATAGTGTTTTATGGTACTAATAATAGCAAGAATTTATATGGTTCTAATTCTAGCTCTAAATCAAATTGTCATGTAGTTGTGGGATTTTTAATAATATAACAGCAATCAAGAATTGGCGCCAATTGCAATACTAGATCAAAGGCGTAAGATGTTATTACCCCTGGTGATTGGATCTATAAATTGGCAAACCGGCAAAAAGTGCAAAGTTTTTTTCTCTCTTGGGAGTAACTCTATATTTAGTCATGCGACATTAGATTGTGCAGAAAATGTATTCAATGCAACAACATTTTACTATATACTTATTTACATCCCCTTTCACATGCACAAATACTGTACCTTTAAAAAAATTGTAAGGGCCACAGCCTGTTTGCTCTTTTCTCTCCTGTCCCACCCAACCCCTCCCCCTAAATCAGTACATGTACAGTACATGGTCTTGTTGGTCTTACAGGATATCATAATCGGATATTATTGGTGTCAAGAATATCACACCCAATATTGTTTTCATTTTGTAATATTGCTTTAAAATGGTCTGTCACAAAATATTTGTCCAAGAAATCTAAAGGTGATGTTGTCAGTGTTATTGAATATGACAATGGTACAGTTATTGTCACAAATTTATAATTCTAACAACATATTGTCACAGCTTAATAATTCTCACAAAATTGCTAAAACTGTCAAAGTGACAAGATGGTACTTTACTGTTGTCAATGAGCAAGTATGCATGATAAACTTATACATCAATAATAATATTGATGTGATGACTTCAGACAACTACCGCCAAAAAATACCACTCTGAGACTGCTACTTTGTAGAAAGTTACATTGCAATTAAATCAATAAAGATAATAAGGCAGTGTTAAAGGTAAACTGAGTAAAGCTGTAGTTGATATTTGTAATGTAATGTAGTTGGTATGAGTAATTCTTGTCAGTTAAAAGTAGCCAAAATAACACTATCTGTATATCAAGGAAGCAGTAGATACACGTTACCACTGCGAGCCTTATTTTGCCTTTATAACAAGAATTTAAAGAGTAGGCAAACAATTAGGCCTATAGCATTCTGAAAAGGGAGGAGGAATCACCGAGTTCGTTCAAAGAAGATTGTGTGTTATAGGTTTGGGCAGAAAAATACAGGTGTCCCTTGGCTTAGAGACCACTTTTGGAACCTGCGTTTCTATGGTCTTTAGCAGCTTTGGTCTCTATATTAGAATAATAATGATATTAAAAACATTTGTTAATATGGGACAGTAGAAAAATGGTCTTTAATTGGAGGGAGACCTGTATTTGTTTTACATTTGTTGTTTTTTTTTCTTACATTGTGACGAGACTTCTTATTGTCAGTCAAATAGTAACATTTTTCTTTCAGAAAATGTATTTATTTTTATTTGTTCATTTAATATCCGTCATACTTTAACTTTTTTTAATTAAGCATATATTTGCATTTTCCTATTGGATCAACCAACACAAATTTCATCTTTACCAGGTTGAAATGACAATAAAGGAGTATCGTATCGTATGTTAACAGTGCATAAAAGTGTTTACATACAGATTATTTGTGGAGTTGCTAAAGTTTAATTATCCTTATAATTTAATTTGTAAACTTGTTTCTAACCTGACAATAATATATTGTTTCTTTTTTCAGGCTGGTATCAATGGAAGGGACCTCGGAGACTGTCCTTTATGTCAGCGCATTCACATGATACTGGTGTTGAAGAAAGTTGAATATTATGTGCACACCGTAGACACAAAGAAAAAAACACCAGAATACCGAAACATTTCAGGTCAGTAGAAATGCGTACACAGTATACTGTAATAATGAGAAACTTTCTATCACTCTCAGTATATACTGTAAGCATACCATTAGTAATCAACCCATTGTAATTTTCATTCAAAAATCTATTTCCATGTATAGTCCTACCTCCTAACTTCAGAGGTGTTTTTTTTTTTTTATAATTCTACACCTGTAGTAGGTTCTAGTCTGGACCGAGGCAACACGTATCTAGACTTATTACAGGCCTCTAGACCCATAAATGTTTGTGTAGCCAGGATTTTAGATAAACCCAATTTTGTGTTCAAGGAATGGGCATAATCTACAAAAAAAAAAAAAAAAAAAAACTATGGTACTGTACACATGCTTCGTGGAAAGTTTAATGCAGGGTTTTTTAAAGTGTTGATATTGGTTTTGAATAACTCTAGGTATTTAAAATTATAGTATGAGACTTTGAACATTTTTTTATAGTTAGGTAGATACACATTTTTCGTATGAAGTACAGATAATTACTGTATGGATAGTGAAGTTTATGTACATACCAAATAGTAAACTCATATTTTTGTGGTGCACTGCTATTGAGTAGGCCTACTTAAAATATCAATAGGTAAACATACAGCCATACAAGTAGTGATAAGAACAGTATGTTGTAAGTGGTAAATTTAATGCATGTTTTCGACAGTAGAAAAATGGTCTTTAATTGGAGGGAGACCTGTATTTGTTTTACATTTGTTGGTTTTTTTTTCTTACATTGTGACGAGACTTCTTATTGTCAGTCAAATAGTAACATTTTTCTTTTAGAAAATGTATTTATTTTTATTTGTTCATTTAATATCCGTCTTACTTAACTTTTTTTTAAATTAAGCATATATTTGCATTTTCCTATCGGATCAACCAACACAAATTTCATCATTACCAGGTTGAAATGACAATAAAGGAGTATAAAAGTGTTTACATACAGATTATTTGTGGAGTTGCTAAAGTTTAATTATCCTTATAATTTAATTTGTAAACTTGTTTCTAACCTGACAATAATATATTGTTTCTTTTTTCAGGCTGGTATCAATGGAAGGGACCTCGGAGACTGTCCTTTATGTCAGCGCATTCACATGATACTGGTGTTGAAGAAAGTTGAATATTACGTGCACACCGTAGACACAAAGAAAAAAACACCAGAATACCGAAACATTTCAGGTCAGTGGAAATGCGTACACAGTATACTGTAATAATGAGAAACTTACTATCACTCTTTTATACTGTAAGCATACCATTAGTTAAGTCAACCCATTGTAATTTTCATGCAAAAATCTATTTCCATGTATAGGCCTACCTCCTAACTTCAGAGGTGTTTTTTTTTTTTTTTTAAATAATTCTACACCTGTAGTAGGTTCTAGTCTGGACTTTGTCAGACCTAGGCAACACGTATCTAGACTTATTACAGGCCTCCTCTAGACCCATAAATGTTTGTGTAGCCAGGATTTCAGATAAACCCAATTTTGTGTTCAAGGAATGGGCATAATCTACAAAAAAAAAACAAAAAAAAAAAACTATGATACTTTACACATGCTTCGTAGAAAGTTTAATGCAGGCTTTTATAGGTGCTATGCACTAGTTACCTGTAATTAAATAGTATTCATTCTTATCTAGTTTTTGGTAACAATTATTTTTTTAAAGTGTTAATATTGGTTTTGAATTACTCTAGGTATTTAAAATTATAGTATGAGACTTTGAACATTTTTTTCTAGTTAGGTAGATACACATTTTGCGTATGAAGTACAGATAATTACTGTATTGATAGTGAAGTTTATGTACATACCAAATAGTAAACTCATATTTTTTGTGGTGCACTGCTATTGAGTAGGCCTACTTAAAATATCAATAGGTAAACATACAGCCATACAAGTAGTGATAAGAACAGTATGTTGTAAGTGGTAAATTTAATGCATTCATTTGCCCTGTACCAAGGCAGATCCTTAAAATCATTGAAAAACTAGAGTAGTTCCATAGAGTGCATACCTTCGCCCTGTGCCGGAATATCAAACAATACTCACAGGCCGTGTATGATGGACGATTCTATTATTTTCAACCCTGTGTTTTAATACCAAATGAAGCGTAGACAGGCCATTTCATTATTTTCTTTTACTGTATGCTCAGAGCTCCAATTTCCTTAGCCATGTCCTTTGAGCTGTTCTTCCCCCAATTTAATCATCTTTTTCCTTGAATATTATGTACCATTCCACTAAGATCCATCCATTAGTTTTTGCGTAATCTTGGTAACAGGTAGACAAACAGCGGTGAATACATAACCTTCTTTGGCCGAGGTAAAAATGTATCCAAATCAAGTACAGTATTATTAATCAGACTGTCAGACATGTACAGTAATGTTGAAATCCAGCCTTCAAATCAAGTTGTTAGTGATCATCATAAATACAGTGATCTTTGCTATTATGTATATATTGATTATGGAAATGGATATAACCTCAAAAGTACATTTGTATTAGCAGAGGTTGTATATTAATATAGCAGTGTACACGATGTTTTTAATAATAATACATATTTGTCCACATGTATTGTACTGTACACATATAAAATTCATAATATATGCTGGCTATAGCACCATTCAGATAAATCCAAGAATGTTTTTAATAACACAATTAATTATAAATACTGTAGACCACAAATCTAATATAATATTTCCTGTACAGTAGCGTTAATTCACTTCTCGTTTAATTTTTGATTTCTTCCTTATCGTTTAATGTATTGAACTTGTTTATAGATATAAAGGAAATTACTGTATATTTGCTTACAGATGTAATGAATAAAATATTAGATCATCGCTCTGACTATTTTGAGTGAGGCGAGTGGCTGAACAGTAACACAGGGGCACCTATCTACAGCATTAACATTAGTGCCATTTCGAGATGGTCCTCCTCACTCAGGGTTCAGTTAGTATAACTAAAGCAAGATAAGATCTTAAAACTGAAGGTCTAATACACTATACTCATCTGGCTCATTTGGCTCGTGATCAGAAGAGTAGGGGGCTATTACAGTGCTATGGTACATTTCTGTCCCTGTCGCTCTGCGATGCTGCGAACGTAAAGCCATTTGGCGTCTCTCTACGATTGCTGAATTAGTCACAGGCAACACCCTTCAGCACAATTAGGCTGCGAGTTATGGGTTATTCCTACCTTTAAATTAACCCCTTTTAGCAAGGTAAAAAATAATTATAGATTTGTGGATATGGTCAATATGCTTTTGTTAATTGCTCGCCTTATACAGTAGCTGGATTATAGTTTACTATTATCATTTAGTTTTAATAACCAAATTTTCCAGATTTACTTATAACGAATAGTGCACCCTTCAGTGTCTGGTATAGGCATTTATAATGTGCCTCTTCCTTGAGGTTATAAAGCGCACTTCTTTTTCATGGTCATTGGGTCCACGTGCTTTTAGTGTTGCTGCTGGTAGTCTGCGCAGGAGCAGGCATCCTCACCAGGTCACCCATTTATATTCGTGGGTGGAGAAAAGCAATGCAGATAAAGTGCCTTGTTCAAGGACACAAGCAAAATGCACAGTGAATGATTGAAATCCCAACCTCGAGTTTGGGAAATCAAACCATTCCACTGTGCCAACCCGCTTCCGCCAATTCAAGACCCCTCTAATTTGAGACCATTTTTTTAAAGAACCAAATAATTATAGTCAATCTTTTAACACAATGCTACTGCAACCCTCTAAGTGGAGCCTTAACCCCAAGACCACCCCAAATGTTGAGGTAATAGGATGGTCTCGAATTTAATTGAACTGTAGTCTTCTTTCACCTGATAAAGGTAGCTAGAGTTTGCTTATGCCTGCATTTGATACCTGATATTCTGCATGTGATTGTCACTGATAAACATCAATTAAAATGTTTATGTTCAAATTTTATTTGTTTATTAAAAATAAAATTTGCACATTCTTACCGTCACACTAATTTATTTGTTTTGAATTCTGAAATGGCTGTTAATAATTCTTGTTGAATTTTCCTTCCCAGGTGGCAAGCCGCCTCCGATGATTTGCGATGTCTATGGTGGAAATGTTGTCACCAAGCAAGATGTTGCGAAAATTGCCGACTATCTTGAGCAGACAATCCGTGAGCCAAGTCTGGCGTGCGAGAATGAAGGTGCCAACAAGGCTGGCATTGACTTGTTTAGGGTGTTCGCAGGGTGAGTAACAGTTCTCTTTTATATCTTATAAAAAATTTTTAAATTTGATATTTATTATTTATTGATTGTTATTTATGAATTATTATTTATGTATTATTCATTATTAAACATTTATTATTTTATATACTAATTATTTATTCATTCATTCCCTTATTTATTTATTTATTACATATATATTAGCGGTGCACCTTCATACCAATCGACGTATCAGGGTGATAGGCTAATATTTTGTTTCATGGGTACATCTTACTAACTGTACTGTACTACTATCTAGCTCACACCTGATCTGCTGTAGCTGTTTCACTCACTCAAATTGATATTCTTCTCTTTTCTGTGCAGCTGTCTTCCATATAATCCCCTTAAACTCCCAAATTTCATCTATCACCTTTTTCTCTAAACTCGCAGATTTCATCCATTCGTCTTCTTTTCTGTCTGCCTCTTTTCCTGATCTGATCATTAAACATTCTCACTAATGTTGTTTGTTTATTAACAGCTCTGTTGGCTAATGAATGCCATATGCTAATTTGTTTAAAAGCTTGCAAATATTCATCTTGGATAAGTTCACATTTATTATATTTAGTTAATTCATCTAATTAAATGTCTGTGTTTACTAATGCATATCATTTGCTGATTTTTTTTTAGCTCGCAAATATTCATCACATTTATTATATTTAGTTTAATTCATCTGTTAATTACATGCAGCTCACATTCCTTCAAACTCAACAAATATTGCCACTTTAATAATCCAATGACAATGCTTTATCAAACTTTACAAAAAAAATAGTATTTTCGACTTGCATAATTTCTTTTTACCCTGTGTGAGTTGGTGCCATGTAATGAGAATTCCAAACCAAGCCAGCTGTGTTTCAAAATGCAGATGTTGACAAAATTAGATCTCTAATAAAGCCTGTCCAACAGTTGGACGTAATGTGTTGTGCAAATTTGCATCCTGTTAAAGTCATAGATGTCAGGCTGTCTTGTTTAGTATAAAACCCTGGATCTAAATCTAAAACCTAATGTGTGTGATGTAGAGTATACAGAAGCGGATCCAGAAAGGGGGAACCCACTTCATATACTGTAGGCCTATAGTAGATGCAATGTAGTTATACAATGTGTATCCAATAATGGTATGACTTGTGTTTAGTGAATAACTCTTAGTATTTGTATGACATTTCGTTTCTTTCTCTGTTAAAGGCGTAGTGGAACGACCAAGGGCCCTATATCTACTCCTGGTGTGTAGGGTTTTTACAGGAGAACTTTGAGTTCACACTCTTGACATCCCTTGATATTCATCTTTATGTTTGAAACCATCCTTTGTATAGAAATCGTACTAAAGTCTTAAATTCATTAACAATTTGGTTGTTTGATTGATAATGTAGTACCACTACCTTAAACAAATCTACAAAAAATGGCATTTTTCTTCCAAACCACAGGTACATGAAGAACCAAGATAAAACCAAGGATGAAGCACTGAAGGCAAAGTTGACCGAGGAACTGCGAAGCCTGGACAAGTTTTTAAAGAGTGAAGCATCACCGGGGTGCTACCTGGACGGTGATATCATGAAGCAACCAGACTGTAACCTCCTTCCAAAGTTGCACCATGTTAAAGTTGCTGGTCAGATACTAAAGGTAAATATATATTGAGTTGGCATTTGTATCTTACCTAAAGCTCATGTCAAGTTTGTTTCAAGTTTTGCTGTGTGTGAGAGGTTGGCTTGTGCAATGTCTGCATGCTGACCGTTGTTGGTAGTCTAAACTGATCGTCGTTGAACAATATTTTGTTGCGGTTTCATTGAATCACGTCCGTTGAAAGTACCAAATTTCCTGTCTTTAGATGAGAAATATGCATAAAAATATAGAAGTTTTGTACAGTAGTGCGGCAAATTAATAATGTAGGTATAGTAGGACTTGCACTAGTTAAATCACGAGCATCAGAATGACAGGACAGTATGCAGTTTATGTTTTAAAATTCACATCATTGAATCAAGAACCTGTGAAACACTACTCAGAATGTCACGGCAAGTAATCTGTGCATTGGCTGTCAAGCATGCCAGGTAACCATTCACATAGTACTCTTCTTGTGTGGAGAGAATGAAGTGCCTTGCCCAAGGACAGGCAAATGTTCATCCTCATACTTGAACCATTGAAATTTTAATTCCAAACCTTACTGTTGCACCCTTTTTGTAATAGGTTTTGCAATTTAACCTTTGGCCTTTAAATTCTCTGATTGAGATATGAAATATTGTACCAAGTAAAACTTACGGTTAAATCTCATTTTCGTCTTTCAGAGTTTTGATATTCCCACGGAATTTGATGCTGTACATGAATACTTAAACACCTGGTATGCAACGGAGGTGTACGAAAAGACACAGTACCCAGACGCGGAGGTGGAATACGGCTGGAAACATACAAGATTAGTTCATTAGAGGGACATTGTTTATTAAACATCATCATTCACTATTAACAAGATGCCTTTAGAACATCATCATCTTTGTCATCACGCATTCGGACATTGTATGGCTGCTTTTCATATAGTCAGGAGTCAGTGTTGTATCACTATGAGAAAAATATACTATTAGAGGTTTATTTCTTGACTTGTTATTTTGCCCTAGTATCATCGTTCTGACATCTTTGCTGATAATAATTGTGAGGCTATTGTTCGGATTCTGCCGCTCATTTAAATAGATGAGCAACGTCTACAATAGCAAGCTCCTATGAATGTAAGAAGATTTTAGAATAAATTTGATCATTTTACATACTTTATCATTTTTATTATAATTTTTGAATGGAATTCAGGACGTTGGTTTTTTTCACCCTTGAGCGAGCTTTTTAATCGTTCTGGTGGTTTTTTTCTGATATGATGAGGCTCGATAAATTGGAACTCTTGACCCTCCCCCATTTTAATAATATGAATAGTTTATTTGTAATTTTCTATTTTGCAGGTTTAAATCAAAACAGAATTTTAGTTTAAGGTAATGATCTTTTGTCATTAGAATTATATAATTTTGGAAATGCAATTTTTTTTTTTTGACAAAGTAATGGAACTGTATTTAATTTACTTATAATTGAAATGTAAAAATAAACAAATTAAGAAAAAAAACATTTGTGACATTTTATAGATGCACAATTACTTGTTAGATCAACTCTTCTTTTATATATATATATAAAAAAAACCTTTAAAAGCAATGTTTGCATAATCACTGTCATTTAATAAACTAAAACTAAACTGAAGCTCCGTTCACACTATTAAATTGTATGTGACAAATAAATGTGATATGCCCATATTTGGGTGTAATATGCCAATATTTGGGTGTAATATGACATATCGTGCCCCCATATAAGTATAGTATAGACAAATCACACACATTTGTCACACAAAATTTGATGTGTGGACAGCGCTTTAGGATTAGTAGTTTAGAAGTTGGATCTGATAGAGAGAATTGGATGCACTTTAGACACCATGTTTTACCTTGGACAATTAGTACCGTGGGTGATTAACTAAACAAATGGTAGAATTGGTATCGTGGTCGTTTCGTACCAGAGGTGATTTGTACCATAGACATTTCTTACGAACCGAATGATTTACAGTATACTAAAAACAAATTTTATACAATGGATGATTTGTTGGATCGCTTCTTTCCTAACTACCAACCATGGCATCTAGCATCTATTGTATAAATTGTTCAACAGCAAAATTGAAAGATTTTTTTTTTTATGTGATAAGGGAAAATAAAATGGTGGAATGGCAATCATTGATATGGGAGGATATGTTTGGTGATCTTTAAAAGGCCGAATTTGAATCGTTAAGCTAAGTTTTTGATATTGTGGTGTTATGGTGCTTCTCAATTTTTACACATGTGAATTGAATTGCGTAGCTAACTGTAGATATACTGTATTATATGATACAATGTTCATCTGAGTAGAACCTAATTTGGACAATTTAAATCACAGTCTTGTATGATTATGCTCAGGCCCGTAACCAAAGGTTCCAATAGTAAGCCAAATACCTTTTTAAGCAAAGTTCCTCTATAAATACTAAACCACCCCTTCCAACCTATTAAAATAGTAGAGGAATTTATACTGTGCCTTTTGCGTAGTGACAAAGACCCTGGTGATGTTGATTTTAACATACACAGACTAATACACTCTGTGCAACTACTTCTTACCAGATACTCTTGGCTGAAGTCCAACATAGGTAAAGTGCCTTTACCTATGTTGTTGTAGGGCGAAATACACATCAAAATTCTAAACGCCCAAACTCAATAGTGACTAAAGTACAGCAATTTCACCAAGAACTCTTAACCTGAACGCCACCGGTGCACCTTCAGTTCTTATGGGAACATCTCCCGTTAGGGAATCCTGGTTACGGGCCTGCAGTGACAACAGTAGTAGCATTTCTTCATGAAATACCTGTGATAATTATATTTTTGGTAAATTGGGTTTATCATGGTGATAGGGAAAACTAGTGCTCCTTTAATTTGTAGGTTTATTCCGGTTGGAGGAAGAAACCCATGTGACTGCTATAATAACCAGTGATTGGTTAAAATATGAAAGGTAGCTGACAAGACATGTTTTGGGTATCCGCAATCATAATTTTTTTTATAATCTTTATTAATCAAAGCCCAGTGATCTACAGTAGTGTAGTGTTATGTTTTTCTAAAGTGATCAGGTTTTTTTTTCCCAATCAGAAAAGTAGTTGCAAGAAATCTTATTCATGATGTCCCATTTAAAAAATAGTGCCGTAGTCTGCATTTTAAAAGTTATATATTAGTAATATATATACTGACCTCATTTTCTTTCCGTTTTCAATTGTAAATGTACCACGGAAACTGTAACATACACAAATGGTTCATAGAGAATTAACTTGGGGAAAAAGGACCCTTTATTTCTGGTAAAAACACATCACCTTTTTTATAATAGAAAACTGATGTCTCTCTAGCAGTAGTAATGTTTGTTTATATGTACTGTATTGTATTTTACCATACTGTATAATTTTAACCATTAAAATTGTGTTTAATTTGCATGGCTGATGCTTTTGGCATTTAAGTCCAGAGATAGACAGATTATTACCTTAACTGTATAAGCAAGCATATAATGTAAATCAAAATATTAAATTGTCCTCAAAAAGAATCTGATGTTTTGTTTGTCATAATTTATTAGTTGTTAAGTATATTTGTTGTACAGCAGAAAATGAACATCAAAGGCAAGCTTTGCTCGACTCAAAGTCATTTCGATGAAAAACAATGCGGTCAGTCTCTGAAACATTCCCCCTGGGTTGCAGTAAGTTAAACCGATTCCATCATGCCTAGCGAGAATAACCAGTCTATTTTCCGTAAAGCAGTGATAAAAAATCTCATTCTGAATTTTGTGTGACTAAAACTTAAGCATTTAAATGAAAATGTGCATGTGGCAAATAGTATTTTAAGTACCATTCCCGGTAAACAGCGGATAGTCGAGGTGAGGTCACTCTTTGTATACATGTGGCAAATAGTGTCAAAATTACTGCAAAGCAAACATGGCTTAAAGTACTAGTCTCTTGGTATCAAAGGTATACCATAACTACCCAAGGATCTACAAAACAATATTACTGTATTAGCAGAAGTATTATTTATACATTCACAAATGCAAAATTATATATATATATATATATCCATACAGTTTGTTCTCTTGAAATATTTTGTTTAAAAGACTATAAAACTATTCTTTTCACAATGCTGCAACTAAAGTTAGATCAAGAAGTTGAAACAAAAACTGTTAATAATAATACAAACTTCATTCTTGACATTGCATGAATGCAATTAAAATATCAACAGCGCCCTCTATTGAAACCTCCAGTTCTATCAAAGACTTGCATGCATAATTCTTGTTATTGTAAGGTCTTTGGCTCTATTTAAGTATTGTACATCTAAAGCTCTGGCCACACTATCAATATGCCCATATATAGTCACATCATGACCATATTTAGTCATGTCACATGTTTTTATCAAATAAAATGTGATGATAGTCTGGACAGGGCTTTAACTACAGACAGGAAGGTATGCAGTAAATGTTGCGTCCACTAAATCTTGTACAGTACATTAATAGTCTGGACAGGGCTTTAACTACAGACAGGAAGGTATGCAGTAAATGTTGCGTCCACTAAATCTTGTACAGTACATTAATAGACATATATCACACTTTTGTACAGTACATTAATAGACTCATATATCACACTGTAGTACTAATATGAATCAAATGCAGAGCAGTTCAAGTTCTTGTCTCTTCTACGTAGCGCCTCAACAGCTAAACTCAACCAAGTTCTCATAGAATATATGCTTTATTTGTTCCACTTGATAAACATACAAATAAACAATTCATAAAGTACAGAGGTAAGAATTTAGGCTCCTATGAAAAAAGTAAATTTAATTTTAAAAACATGAAAAACCTAAAGAATGTACAAAGGAAAGTAAAGCTGGGCACCCACTAGGCCTGACAGTTATCGGCCGACGCGATCCTATGCAAAACACAACGGCACCACGCAACAAATCTTTTTAATGAGGATCCGTTAGAACTGCCACTGAAAATCAGCAGACGATTTCACATGGTCTAGCGCTCACTGGGAACGGAGTTAGATTTGTTGGCCGACGATCGTATGACACAGTGAGTGTCCGGCTTAAAGATCAAGAATTAAAAGCCTTTAAAATCAGTTAGTAACAATAATAATCTATTAAATATTCATTTCACTATTTAATTAATTACAGTATATCAATATTTATAATCAGTCTTATCATGTCAAAGCTGTTATGCTTAAGCTCTGCCCACATTATCAAATTATGTAACATACCCATATTATTTGGATGTAACATTGACATCAACATCACACAAATTTGTCCTAGTAAGGACAAAACTTCAGTAACATATAAACTCACAGATAACAAGAGCGACTGCTTACCGGTCCGCGCGTTCCTCCACGCTTAAATACGCTACAGGCACAAGTTATTATATTGGGTTTTTTGGAAGAGCTAATAAGATAGAAATTTTTAAATAATCAGAATGTTTATTTGTACAAACAAAATTATTTAGAATGTTCATTTGTATGTACACAATTAGAATACTTTACATTGAGAAAAATAAAATTCCTTAAAAATGGAAAAAAGAAAAATGAATATCAAGACGCGATTCAAACTCACAACCTTAAGTTCTTTGAACACATTCTTAACCGACCGCGCCATTCATGCGACGTGTCCTCATTAGTGGTAATGGCATTTATGTACAGTCCTTACTGAAACCCCTGTTTTGTTTTGTAGGTGGAACCCTGGGGTCCAACTTAAAAAAAGGGCGATGAGCGTTTGTTGGAAATCACCTCTAGTTGATGTATACTAAATGTCCTTCACGTCCATTCAAAACTGGCGACGCTGGACGTTTTTAAAATTATGGTAACAAGAAGAACAAGTACAGCAGTGAGGCTCTGGTGTCGGCATCTTGCGCGTACCCAAAAATGTGTCACAGTATTATTAATACAGTATGATAAAATGGAAGAACTATAACATTTGGACGAATCTTTCTTGATGAAATGAATAACAAGGCCTCCATGCTACAGTATTGCACAAGTCCACAAGGTGATAATCATTGATGCAATTTACAACATTAGATGAAATACCCACCACTACTACAGTACACTGTCTTCCAAGCTGTTATTTGGTGTAAATTTGCATCTTTCGCAGCTGCACTAATTCAGAAAACCTTTCAACAATTTTCCTCTCATTTGTCCTTTTCTTTGAAGTAATCAGCTTGAAAATAAAGAAAAACAACATTAATTTGTTAGAAGTACTGTACAGTTGATAATATGGCTTTGGAATGTATATGATTTGTTGGTTTATTGTGGGCCTTGGGATGCCTTAAGCTAACAACTATGAGGGCCACAAAGGATCAGTCCTCTGCCAAAAAAACCTGTTTTTATTCCATCTTTCCCCATAAGAGCAGTGGCTGAAATGTTGACCAACTTTTCTTACCCATCAAATTATAAACTACAGTGCACAAAGTTTGCAAGGAGGTTTGATAATCTTGGTAACCAGTGGCATATCTAGGATTCTTGAAATGGAGAGGGGGGGCAGTGAAGGTGAAGTAGGTCTTGATGATTAGTTGAGTGGGTGCTAGCTCGTAAAATAAGGTGATTTTTAACTACAGTACTTGACAGTGACTTTCTTGGTGAGGCGACTCGGAGGGTGGTAAGTATTTTTTGGGGTGTGTGCACTGCGCACCACCCAGATATGCCACTGCTGGTAACCAACATCCTTTGAGGAGCAGATGCCTAAAGTTAACAGGATGTGGGGGTGGGAATAAATTATGTGGCAGAATCAGACAGCATTTTATGAAGATGATATGACTTACCTAGCTTTTCAATGGCTTCAACACATACACTTGGGAACATGTTTGGGTTGTAAGTACCAAAGATAATCAAAGTTGCTGTTTTTACCAAAACTAACCCTGACTTGTCCTTTAGAAAAAAGAAAAATATAAATAAATATGCTGAAGTAATATCATAGTCTTCAATTCGACTATTTTAATAATCAATTTAGTTGTTCACATAAAAGAACATCAAAAATTAGTTTATTACCAACATTATGGAATGTATAATTAGACATAATCTGCAAGTCATTGAACATAGATCGTAAACAGTGTTGTGATTTCTATACTTAATCAAGAAACAACCCTGGGAGGGGGAAAGTGGGAGGATTTTTTTTTGCTTTAAGACATATTTGAAACTGAATTCAATCTCTCGACATTAATTATGTCATCATCATGGTGTTTGGATTCAGTATTATGGCATCATCACTCCTTATGATGACATAATTGATGTCAAAATATTGAATCTCAACACGATGGCGTGTATTTTAATACAGCACTTGGAGTACGTATTATAATTTCTCATCCGAGATTAATCAGTGGACCTTTCAGTATTTGAAACTGCAACCACAATAAGGTAATTTTTCCCAGACCCTTGTTGATGCTGCCAATTTAGCATACATCCTTGCAACACACTGTTGACCAATAGTAGATTACTTACACACTTTGCATAGATGGAACTTTTATCAGCTCGGACGCATTTGTAGAGTTTGTTATTGTAAAACAAACCTTCTTCTCGTGTACGTGGAGGATCCTTGAATGCGGTCACCAACCTCTGCATCTGATCATTATGAAGCTGCAAGAACATTATTAAAATTGTGTAGTACTGTAATTTGTAAGTACCAATACTTATTACTTACATCTACATTGTCACAACTCACATTTCACAGAATAATACTAATTTGTATTTGGCAAGATTACATTTGATCTGTGCATATATGGATGTAGTGGTGCTGTATGACATCATTATGTCTATATATTAGCAAATCAGAGGATTTTGTCACATAAAAATTGATAGTGTAATCAAAGATTAATAGACTATGCTCTAATTTTACTGATACAATTAACTTGTTCATAGAGATTTGGAAAAAAAAATATGAATAACAACATTTTAGTTGCAGAAGGTTTGGCATGTTTATGCAGCTTAGCAATACCCTAGCTTTATTCAATTTATTATTTTTTACATAAAAATAGTAAATAGGTTTTATTTACAGTGAAACCGGCAGAACTTGCACGTAAGGATGTGTCTTTTCGTCTGATGATGGCGCAGTGCTCAACATGGCCGGTACCAATCAGAGCATCGTGCAAGAGATTCTGAAGCTGGTTCATCTTGGCTCGATCCTGCATAAAACAAAGAATGAAAATAAATCACTTTAATTTTTTACTCCAATAGATTTTAATAGACTTCTGCACTGCTATACATGTATGAAACCGTATCATTTCTTATGAGTAGATTTTTGCCTGTCAATCTCAAAAGTGTATGTTCAAATTTTGTTTGACGAAGTAAGCAATTTTGTTTGATCAGGCTTTGATAAGGCTTTAGCCAATGAGGATAAGTTGGGCACTCACTGCCTCGCACGACTGTCAGTCGACGAATCCAACGCCGCCTCCTGCGAATGCTAGGCAATGCAATGCCGTCTGCTGATTCACGGTGGAAGTATGAACGGATCGTCATTAACAACGATCCATTACATGCACGTTGTGGGTGCAACAAGTGCTTTACACCACTGCTACCCCGGCATTTATACTCCTTTGGAAAACAGACATTCTTGGATAAAGTGCCTTGCCCATGGACACAAGCACACAAAATATAACTGGTCTTGTGCGCCAACACATTTCGATTAAAGGACCAATCGTTATTGTTGGTTTGGTTTTTTTTTTTTTGTTTAATTATCCCTGTCAGAAGAAGCATGAAATATAAGCCTACTCTAAGAGGGAAGGATAGCAACTGAAAAATTCAAACCTGCTCTGGTAAATGTGGTGGGTCTGGATCAATGTGATCTATGACCAACTTAACTAATTCGTGAATCTTATCAAGACAAATAGAATCAGCCTCAACCATATCCAATCCAGCGATTTATACAATTGTATTCAGGGTCAAAGTTTCAACAATTCTGAATCAGTTATACAACACCTTATTGGGTATTTGAAGGTACTGTAGATTTCACAACGAATAAATGAAGCATGCTAAAACAGCATTGAGATTTTTAACTCTCTGGTAATATGAGATCCACAACATTGGCACAAAAGATCATGAAGTCATGGTTTGCATGCAACTTGGGAATACACCATGAATCCATACAGTAATGTTTTCCCCTGTATGATGCTGTAATTGTTTGAATTTAAAATCCTGCTCGTCAATAGAAGACAACTGAACATCAGCTTTTTATCATGGAGCACAGATTGTCTGCAAAATTGTAGCAAAAATGCTATCCGATTTCTTGATTCAGGTGCACTAATGTATTTTTTCCACTGTCAATCACTTGATGTATGGTACAGGAAGTGTTGGTTACTATACTAACAAACATTCTACAAAACCATCATTCAAACCATGTAAAACAAACAGACAGTACAGTGATAACAAATTTAACTGCTTTCTGCATCATAATCGATCACATCTTCATTAATTATAGAATTGTTTGGAAACGTCCTTCTACCCTGTGCTCTTAGCAACCTTCATTCCGATTGCAATTAATATCCTGTGTGCTTAAAATATACTTGCTAAGGATTTATGTAGACAGCAAACCTTTTGTTTGTTCACAATGATGATGGGTCTCACAAAGACAGGCTCAGGTGGAGAGTGCAAAGGGCAGGTTTTCTACAATCAGTCATATGCTAAATACAGTCTTTTCTTAATCCTATTGTAAGGCAGATTGATTGAGTTTTTACGTCAGTTGGGAGTATAAACTGTAGAAATTTTTAGGTAGTCCCATTAGTTGTGTACTGAATTGCCACAAGGGGGCACTGTTTGCGTGCAAGAGTTTTGAAGGTAAGTACAGTAATAGATTGTTTTTTTCTATTGCAAAATTTCAGAAGCAAATTCTCTCTGCAATGTACTTTCTTTATAAAAAATGATTACATCTACAGTAGTAGACTGCATTTTTGTTTGTTACTGAAATCTGATAACACCAAATTATATAATCAATAATTTAAAAATATATACAATTATATATTAAATTTCTTAAACATAAAAATCCATCTGACTAGTACTGTACACGTTTGAACCTTGAAAAGTGGCAAGTGGTATCTAAATTCTCAAAGTTTCACACGTTTGTATGTGAACTAAAAAAAAAAATAACACAAATATTCAAATAAAAGTGACCAACCCCTCAGGAGTAGGGTGCAACTTAAAAATAAAATTTGTTATGACGAAACAACAGGTTCAACCAACTAAAAAACCGTTAGACAAATAAAACTAATAATTTAGGTTGTAATAGTTTAATCACAGGGTTTAATACTGTAATTAGCGTACAGTAATTGCATTCAAACTTGGTCTAGACGTTGTACTGCATAGTGTAGTGACAGCCAAAATATTTAAATCAGATGATTTATTGATCCTTCTCATGTTTAATTAAACATGGGAGGCAATCTGAACAAATATTAAATGGGGACAGTAATGGTGCAATTCATTTGGACTGAAATCCAATGACCTTGAGCCATCCATCAACTCAAAAGACAAATGTGGCCATGGTCAGTACCACGTCATTACATATTTGGGGGGGGGGGATTTAATAATTTCATACAAAAAAATAGAACTCAGCAATTGAGGGTAATTTCCTGGTAGGGGTGGGAAACTTCATTATATCAAGGGTGGAGAATTTTGTACATCAGGCGAGAGACTACTTTTTTTTATTTTGTTTTATTTTTTTTTTTGTTTTGCATACTTATTTTTTTAAAGATCACCAGAGGAGGGCGGAATAAAAATAAAAAGTAAAATTTAGTTTTCTTACTTAGCAAATAGATTTGCCAAAAACATCCAGACAGAGGAGAAAATAAAAATAATATTTTATTGGTGAATATAAAATGGAGATGGAGATGCTTCAAATTTATATAATTAGTGAGAAATATACATATCTTATCTTTGGAGATTTCAAGGCAGCAGAAGGCATAATAAAAGTAAAAAAAAGTTTCATCTTTTTCTGAAATTTCCATTTTTTCGTGACGGCCCCTGCCCAAAAATAAAATTTTATTTCTATTTGAAATCATCAATATTTGCGTTCGGCACGTTCGCTATTCAAGGTATACAAAAAGCCTCGCCTCAGCAGTGGGGAATTCTACAGGAAGGGGTGGAGGGTATAATCATTAAATTGGTGAATGTTTGGTAGTTGTTGGTAGGTTAGGAAATAATTTATTACTGTTCTTTGAATGAATTCATTTCGGATGAAAGTAAAATGATTAAGTTGATTTTTTTTTCAAACTCTAAACAATAACTTAGCAAAACATGATATAGGCCTACATACAATAGGCCTAGTCTAGTAGGCATGTTAAAATATTTTTCCCTCCCCCTGCAGAAAATTATAACTTCTACAGATATTTTCCACCCCTAAGGCTAAAGAAAATTTTCAACCCCTGCTGAGGAAATCCTCACCCCTGCAAAAAAGTCTTTTCCCCAGGCCCGACCCTGCCCAGATTGAGTGCATTTTGTAGGAAACTAAAGTATTTGAGACACTGTACGAAGATTTATCTGATCAAATCGACTGAATATTCGCCAAGTAATCACTCTCCTCAGCTGGCTGCTGGCCACTGCAGCGCCTCCAGTCCAGTCCTCCCAAAGCATCCATCCAGGCTGGAAAAAGTTAGCTCACTCACTCATGCATGTCCATGGCATTACTTTCGCATCCATCGGCACTGCACACACAGCTAGCCTAGGGCCTAGGTTAAGTATCCAATGTACGAGGAATAATTGAGCTTCAGATATGAAATAGTACCCTCATACAGTTATTCTGTTTATTGCAACAATACAATACCTTTCGAGAAGACGCGTTTCCAGCGATTTAAGTCTTTTTATTACTTCTCTCCGTCGATCTCTCGGTGTGTCACGAAACATGCCTACTGAGGGCGCTTAAAGAGTCGGTCTCCAAGGGAACCTAGCAACTATTTACTACAGATTTATGAAAGTATTGTTTACAATTCCAACCAAAAAACTACTAAAATGTAAATAGAAAGACGTGATATGGAACAGTTTACATCAATAATAATTCATTAACAACACAGCAAAATGTTTAGTCTTAATTTGTATGATTAACTTTTATAAAGACGTTGATACAGCCTTCACAATTTTGTAAACAAACCAATGAAAGAGTAAACAATTCATGCATGACATGCGGCATAAACGGGCTGTGATGCAATGAATGAAAGTCGTACTGTTTTATAAATAAAATCCCTGCATTTTGTTGGTTCTCTGCAGGAATTTTAGAGATGTATAAGGAGCGAAGTTTCATAAAAGAACCAGAAAATGTAGGTTGTATTACAGTTCATGCACCAATATTACGAAAGGAACTTTCAAGGTACACGACCTGCGATGATCAGTCGAGTGGCATACAGGTAGGTACTGTAGGCTCCGTTAATTGACAATCACTGGTCGGACAGGCTTGGCTAAGAAGGTCCTAGGCCTAGCCAAATCTATCTTGCATAGCCTAGGCCTAGCATAGGCGTGTTCCTGATCAGTGGGCATCTAAGGTAGGCTAGTGTACTCCAGCCTAGGCCTACAAATACAGATAGTTATGTTATTAACTAGGCCTATTATTGTTTTAGATTATTTTTTATTGTTTTATTTTAAATTTTGTTTTATTTGTTGTTTTAAAAATGTTTGATAGAATACCCTCCTGACCACAGCCCTTTATTTAATTTATTTAAAATATAAAAAACAAATATCACATAAAATCATTGTAACATGCCTAATTACCTTTTACAGCTAAAGTGAACTACAGTATAATCCAGGTTTCATAGGCCAGACTGTATAGGCCCTAGTAAGGCTTGCGCGGGGAATATATCCTCCCCGGAAAAATTTGGCCTAGATAGAAATCCATTTGCTCGTTTTGGAAAGTAAGAGCCGATTTCCACGCAGATGTTGCCAAAAATTAGGCTTTGAACAAATCTTAATATATAACCAATGCAATGATGCAGCTATTACGATTCCGCGCACCTATATTCCTAATGATTTTCCACGCAAATTTGAGCTGATTTTTTTTATATCCTCTGTGCAATTAGAAAACTTTATAATAGGCTATGGGGCTTATAATAGGAGGCTATAAATAGTTAAAAATATACAATTATTAATATTGGTGTTTTTTTGTATTATTTTTATGTATGGCCTATATTTTTTTTTTGTATTATTTTTATGTATGGCCTAGGCCTGGACTATTATTTTTGAATATCAGTTATTAATATTTTTTTATATAGGCTGTAACTCTAGATACACTCCAACAATACATTTCACAACAGAGAAAAAGAATCATACATATTTGAATTAGTGTATTTTAATCATAAGCCGGGATAAGCTTACTGCAATGCTATTTTTAGGAACATTTTTTCCCTCTAACTAAAGGTACGCAAGAAAAACAGTTATGTTGAAATGACTAGGCGTCCATGGTCATCGCCAAATCCAAGTCGTTCAAATATGACCCTATCAGCTGCTAGTCGGTCCACTATAGATCAGGGGGGTAAAATTCAGAACTGGTTAAGTGAAAAAGCAGTCAAAGGAATTCAACAAAATGCTGATTTGGAATCACTGGAAACAAGATCATTGTACAACCCAATTCTACACCGTGAAAATACATTTGTGAGGGTAAGTTTGATTTTTATATATTGTACTCTATTTTCTTTTATAATGCTCAATGATTTATGGAATAATACAAATTTATTATAATTTCTTCTTTCTTATTATAATCTTTATGAGTTGACCATACAGTTGTCGGAAAACCAATGTAAATTAATTAGAACTATGCCGATATTCTTAGGACAATGGTTATCAAAAATTGATTGTTGCCTAAAATGTGTTTGTCTCATTATACATTTTGTTATTTGCACACTAGGTTATTCCAATCATTATTATTAATTTTCCAATATTAGGATGTAGATAACTTTCTTCTCAACAAATCCTACCTCGATAATCGTAAGAAAGAAGTGCTTTACAAAAAATGGCAGGAAAGAGTGAGTGAACCAATAGAAGAACAGAAACAGAATGCAGTCAAAGTGGGATATGCAGAGGTTGATAGCAGAAAGAGAAAGCTTTTTGAAGAGTACTTAGCACATACTAATAAAAAGGTGAGCAAGTATTCCTAGCTGCATAACATGTGTGAAGGGGCACCCATGTACTAGATTATATTTCTCTGCAAGAATAGAAATTCTACCCCTTTCCAGCTTGGCAGTTCTTTGCTCTGAGCTTTCCAAATTTGGAAGCCCTATATAATTTTTGTCTAGGATCAGACTAGCGTCCTCTTGAGTTCGGTGTCCTGGGCACGTGCCCTGTTCTGTAGTCCTGTATTTACACCTGGAAATACCAGTAGGCGTACTATGTATGGTATTTTTTTTGCTTTATGTTGCTTTGCAATGCAAATAAACTGATTTTATTTTTTAAGCTATAATTTATATTGAAATTATTCTCTTTCAGGGTCATGTTTTTCTAGATACATTTGACCAAAGGGAATATGACCCTTTGAGTTTGTGCCATCCTCGACCAGCGCCTTTGGTCGCAAAGACAAAAAGACTTTCAGATCCACTTTTAATGCAGGAGCAAAATAGAAACGAAGAAGGCAGAATAATCTTTGGTTGTACTTCAGGTATGCTATAAAAATATATAAATAAGTTAGGTTGTTATATATAACAAATGACTTTGGAAGGCAATACTCATAATAATCTTTAACTTCATCCTCCCCCACATTTTCATGTGAGTGTAGCATTTGTTACTGGTTGTTCTTTTCAGGGGAACGTCTTTCAGATCGGGAAATAGAGCAATACAGACTGCCGCCGCTGCCACTGGTTCCGCTTGGCCGACACGGCACTGAGTGTAGGACATGGCTAGCAATGCCACTCACTGACATTGAAAGCCCAGTAAGACGTCAAAGCAGGTAAAGTTTTTTTTAAATCATCAGCAATTCTGCGTATACACCAGTTTCTCATTTTGTAAAGATTGATGAATTCAGTTTTTTTTTTTTTTATAAACCAAGGAAGTGGACTTACTTGCAATGTTTCAACTGCTATCAGCTAACCTTTGTCAGACAATGGAATGCTAGATTGGCTAATTAAAAGGATGTCATAGTAAAACGCAGCCTAAATTAGTGGAAATTGAATTGGTTTGAATATTGATAATGGTAGACTTATATAGCACATTATGATGAGACCGTATGCACTTCATATTATCATTACCCCAGTCATTGGCTCAAACACCTATTGAAAGCAAACTCAGCTCCCCATAACGTTGCCACAGCTAATTAGCGCATTTGGCATTTTATCCCTACCTGGTATCAACTTATACTCCTGGATGGAGAGAAGAAATGCAGATAAAGTGTCTTGCTCAATGACACATGCGAAATGCACTGTGAGAGATTGAAACCCCCCGACTTCAAGGTTGGGAAACCAAACTGTTCCATCTGCGCTATACCACTTTTACAAAGTTTGAAGATGTGTCACTTTAGAAGTTTCATGATCTTTTCTGTTTTTTGATAATTTAATGTTCTTTTTTTAGACATCTGTCATTTTTGTTTATTTATTACAGGCGACGTATGCATGGTACTTTCAACGACCTCCATTTTGATGTGCGGGGATGGGCGGCAGGAAATCACAACGGCAAACTAGTTGACGATGAAATGAACATACAGAAGAGACGTCGGTTCTTGCAGTTTCACCCTGCTATAGGGACAGCAAGCCTAGGTCACAGCTCATCCCAGACAGAGCAAGAAGCTGCCTCTTGATCTCGGCTTGTTGGCTGGTGTTCCACCAACAGAAATTCAGAGAGAAATTATATTTAACGTGCCAACCTAAGTTTACAAAAGGCTATTATAAATTGATTCTAATCTGTATAATTTTAATTTTAATTTTGTATTTTCTTGCTGAAAACAATGAAAATCAGATATAATGGTTGTTATTTGATATTCAGTTATGGAAAGGAATAATTACTAATGCGATAAATCATACCAAAGTGACTTCCTTTTCTATTGTAATTGTTAAGCCAGACACTCACTGCATCGTACAACGAATCCAACATCACTCCATGTGAGCACTAGATGCAGTATGCGCGGCTGATTGTCGGTGGCAGTCTGAAGCGATCATTATTAGAAATGATACTTTGCATGCACGTCGTGGCGTTGCGTTCTCCATAGAATCGCGTTGGCCGACGACCGTCGTGTCGAGTGAGTGCCTGGCTTTAAAGCGAGAAAGTAAATTTGTAAATAGTTAACCCAGATTCTATTCACTTTATCGGCAGCCTTCTTCCAAGCTTGTGCATGACAAGTATGTGCTAAGAAAGTCTGCATGAAATGAGCCTATAGCTAAATATAACTATTGCCAATTTAAATTTTACTACGACCCAATTCACATGGGACATAAGGTTACACAGAAAGTGTGCTGGTGAAAATTTGCAATCCATCATCTAATTATAAAAGCGCTGGTATCCATCAAACAAGATGCTCATTGTACTTAATGTGTGGATTAGTAGTTCGTTTAATGAAGTATGCTTCCTTGGTGTACTGTTTTGTGTCATTAGCGTTAAGTGTGTTTATGCATGTGTGTACTACTGTATTTGTGTATAAAAAAACAGCATCGCAGAACTCTGTAACGCTCACTGAGACTTGTCATTGATCTGTGGGCATAGTTAGAGTGGAGCTATGTTGCCTGTGAAGTCACCCACAAAGCGTAAAAACTTACCAATCCTTACTTAGGAAAATCAAAAGCTCATAATATTGTACCAATTTGCATGTGTGAAGAAATCTTAGTAGGACTATCTTTGGAAGTTGATAGAACATTTAGAATTTTGTCTTGTGCTTATCAAGTATAAGAAAAAATCTAAACAAACATTACGTAAGCTTTCTCTACAGTACTTTCAATCCATATATTCAATAACAATCAATCAGTAATTCTTGTTGGTGGTTAGTTATACTTTTATTGAAATATGTGCATGCTATACATCAGTGGTTCTACTATCACTTTTAATAATACAATTTTAATTTATTCACTATATATATATATATATGTCATTGATTTAAATTAATTTTTAAAATATAGTATGCTTCCTATGTCTTTCCAATTTAATGCCTTCCAAATAATGATGTCTTAATAAAAAAAGTGAAAAGTAATTGTAAGTTCTGTATGTGATTATGCTTTGCAAGCAGATAATTCATTTAAAATTCGGTATCGTTTCTGTAACCATTGATGTTTGGGAGTGTCAATCGAACGTGTCTTTTATGAAAATTGGAAAATACTTGCCGTATGTAATGTAAATGAGTTTAAATTATAATTTTTTTTGATTTGTAAATAGATAATTCATATTAAATTTGGTAATGTTTCTGTCACCCCAGTGGGCCTTTTCAGAGTGTCAATCAAACTTAGTAGTAATCGACCAATCAGAAAGGGGCTAGGAACACATGTGCACGTCCCCTGAATGCAGGTGAATGTTAATTGTTTAAAAAACAGGAGAGTTTTCCTTAGTCATTCCAGGTCAATGATGTCTTTTTAATACAAAGATTAAAAAAAATAATTGCAGTTGCTGTGTATATACGAAAGTAAATTATATTGTCTTGTAAATAATTCAGTTTAAATTAGGCATTTTTTGATAATTTTGTAGCAGTTAATGATTAACTGGGTGGGCATACATTGTGGAGAGTGGGTTATTATTTTGTTAACGCCATGCTTGGTGTGTATAAGCGTTTATTTGTAATTGTCAGGACCTCGTCCTGCATTCCTGCCATTGTACCCCCTTTTACTTTTTGCATTTGACTTTTTCCCACTGATTATGTATGACATGTGCTATCGGAGTCTGTTTAGACATTATTAATTGTGGCTGACATTGTGACCTCTGACCTCCCTGGACAGACAATTTATTTCCGGCTTTTCTTTGGTAATTTTTGTTGATATTAAGTTTCTAAATTACGACTGTCATGGACCTAATTTTCATTACTGTAAAGCGTTGCATTGTCACTGGGCTGTTGTAGTTATAATGTTGATATGTTGTTCATCATTCCATTCTGCTATAGACAGAATTATCAAGTTAAATAATCATGATATGCTTATGTATGGGGGAATTGGGAATTTACGATATTATCATTGTGATTGGACTTTAGCATCTCCTGGAGGTTTTAGTCCTATTCGTTGTTACAAATTCATTCCTCCATATTTAGTTCCAAACGATAGATTCCACCGATGTTTATGTTTGCTAATGAAATATTTACCATTTTAAGTATACAACCGGTAGTGGCTTCAGAGTTAGGTATAACTTGTGACAATTCGTTTATTTAATCCCTGTTGTATGTTGTAAACAAGTTTATTATTAATGGTGTAAACAGCTTCTTAATGGTGTACAACTTCATCTTTGTTTGATACATGCATGACGAGTTGATTAGCGGAGAAATGTTTCCTCAATGTAATCTTGTTTGAACTTTGAAGCATTATTGGCTGGTGTTCCATTCAGAGTTACTCATTATGGCTTCCTTATTTAAGTAATGATATTTACTAAACTTTTTAGTGAGCTTCTCATACAAGATGTGCTTTCACGACACCTGTACTCACACATGTGAACCCCACCCATTTTCTTAAATACTTCGTCATAAACTATATTAAAAATAAAGTAATTAAATAATTGTTTACGCCTTAATATGTGTATTTTTGTCACTTGAATGGTGGTTGTTTCTCTGGCCAGCATCAGTCCACTTGGTAGCACAGGGGCCCTGTGAAGAGACGTTTTGTGTTTTTTACCAAGAGTTTTATTCAGGAGCATGGTTGAACACATACGCTATAATGAAATGAGCCCCTTCAGTCCGTTACACTACAAAAAGGGATTAGCTCGACCTTCAGAAAGTGTTCTCCCCTCTTATTCCTGTAGCCCTTCACAACCACGAAACAGGATTTTTCCTTCAGAAAAGTGCTGTACTGGAGAGCTCCCCCCCCCCCCCACACTTCTTCAGTATTCCACAATCATCAGAGGAAAGAATCACTCCTTCAGGAAGTTCTTTTACCAGGCACCCCCTCCCACTTCTTCAGTAATTCACATCACAGGAAAGGATCGTTCCTTCAGATAAATATTCTCTCCTCCCACTAAATCCTTTTTTCACAAAAAAAAAATTGCCCTACAAGCTTCTACCCCCCCCCCCAACCCCGTTTTACTCATTCTTAAGTGCTTCTGAATCACAGAAAAGGGTTGCGTCTTCAGAAAATTGTTTACAAAAATTCCCACTGCTCCTCTAGTCCTCATTTCCCTGCCGTTTTTGTTACAGTTGAATTATTATTTTCTTTCGATATTACATTTTGATAATTTATTTTACACTCGCTAAATGAAAAAAATATTCCGACTATTTAATATTGGAAAAATTATTTATTAAAATATACCAGTAACATTATAGTAGGCCTAATATTTTTAGGTTTTGTAAAAGCTTTAGTATCAACGCTAGAAAAGAAATATATACATATTTGTTTCATAGAAAATATAATAATAATAATAATAATAATAATACAGTAATAGTAATAATCTAATTGATACTATAATATCAATATTACTATCTTTATTCCTACAATAATAGTGTTAATAGCCTATACATTACTATAACAATATCTGAAAATTCTGTATGAAGAAGAATGTAAATAAATTCACCTACTATATGATTAGCCTCAAATTTCCTAATTAATTAAGTTTAAAAAGACATGATGTTTATGTAATTTCATCGGTGCTTATCCTGGTTATAGAGTATAAAAACTATTTAAATTTATTATTTAAATTTCTGTCTACACTGCCAAATTTTATGCGATAAGTAAAATATGATATGCCTATATTTGGGTGAAATATGACATCATCATGCCCATATATGGGTACATCACACAAATTATTCACATAAAATTTGATAGTGTGGACAGGGCTAAATAAACTCAACATTTCAACTACAAAAACAAGACAGTTGAGATTCAACGTTTCGATCTATTTGATCATTATCACGCCTTTGATAGAATAGTATTCAAGAGTAATAGATCGAAACATTGAATCTCAAAATGTCTCTGTCTCTATTCAGAGTTCTGTATTTTTGTTTTATTTAAAACTAATTAGTGGATCAATGGTTTTAACTACAGTTAACAAACGAAAAAACTACAGTGCAGACACTAGTACGAATACGTTGTTGTCGTTGACAACACCGTGACCTGTAAAATGATGATGATGATAATAAACACGACACCACACACCAAACCAGCGATCGACCAGTTTTTCGCCGACGTAGCTGAAGAAAGTGCTCCAGCATCATCTCCGCGGTCGAATTTACTTGAACTCTGAAAGCAAATAAATCGATTAATCGATATAGGCCTATTGAGTTTTTTTAATGATATTTCAACATAATTTTAAGAGATTTATTTGAATTTATATTTTTAAATATATTTTCTTTTTATTCCTTTCTTCTCTCGTTCACTGTTAACAATATAGTATAAGCATTGTTCTCCATTACTACTTATATAATTGTTGTACAGCAGGCTATACATGTACGTTTGATTTTTTAATACAATAGAACCCCGATTATTAAGGGGACCAAAAAAGTTTCGCCGTATTATAGGGATGTCCACTAAATAGAGGTTCGCCGTATGCCTCGTTTTATGACCGCGAAGTGTCCCCTTCATAAGGGTGTCCCCTTAATACGGGCGTCCACTTAATAGGGTGTCTCATTGAAATTGGTGTCCCGGGCCCCTTAACAGGGGTGTTCCAAAGGAGGGTTTATACTGTATTTATTTTATACCTGTAAAAGAGTCAAGGGCGTCGATCCGTGGTTGAAAATGTGGGGGCGAGGGGGACGAAATGAAAAAGCCTTTGGCCGTCGTTCAAGCCTTGGTTGGGGACCAGGGGGGCGAAGCCCCCGGAAGCTCTGGCGCCTCCCCAATTCCAACAATTCCAAATGGCACACAACAGCATATTGTCACCAAGATAGCCATTACTAGGTAGTTATTTGGTCTGGTTCTCACTACAGTCACGCTAGTGACAGGCTGAACATTATATGCGCTGTGTGGTGCCCCATAGGGTGTCGTCTGACCGTAGGCTGGTGGTGCCTAGCAAAAAAAAACAAAGGCATAATAAGTGAATTCTAATCTGAAAGAGAATTAATATTGCCAGTAGCAGCAGGGGTATAACTTTCATCATCATCTTTATTTTCATCATCAAATTAATATTATCCCTGTCTCTTATACACATCTAGATGTGTATAAGAGACAGCTACACTATTGTGAGTGGAAATGCCGTCTAATTTACGATCAAACAGGACTATAGGGCGATAGGGGGCACACAAAATATTAGTTAGCATTTTGATTTCACAATAAATTTGTGATTTACTTAATTTATCATTACCAGGAACAAGGGCGGATCCAGAGATGTCCAAAGGGGGTGGGGGGTGGTGGTGGCCGAAAGGGGGAGCCGAAATTTGGGCCGGATCGAGACAACACTCAAATAGGAGGTCCGGGGACATTCCCCCGCGAAATTTCTGTGTTTTAGACGCCCGAAAATAACATTTGAGGCGTTCTGGGCTATCGTTTTTTCTTTTTTTTTTTTACCTCTCGAAATGGGGCCCGGGGCCGAGCCGCCCCACCCCCTAAATCCGCCCATGAGGAAAGCAAAATAGAGGGGGGCAGGGAGGGACTTGCACAATTTTGGAAAGTAGAAAATTTATGATTATGACACCTCTAGATTGCCGGAAATGGCACTCTCAGACCTAAATCCTAATTATAATTTTCCTTTGTTTTTCCATTTTTTAAAAATAATTTTGAAAAATTAGGGTCGGCTCGGCCCCACTTGAATCCGCCACTGATTATTATGACGTCATTGCGAGATTGCATCAACGTAAGATGTCCGTGTCAAAGGCTGTATAATTATTGTTTAATAATGGCTACCGGTATATAAAATTCAATTGACGAACTATAATTTTTTGATATTCGGAAAAACCTGTGTATGTAGAAAATTTTAAACACTAGTATATACGTACGGGTCATAATAATATACAAAAGGAATAAATCGTTTATAGTAGAAATTGTGCACTTTTGAGTTTGTAAAAATATTGGCCAAAAAGTATACACGCTTACAATTTAACAATGTTCAGTACATTGTTTTCACAATAAATTTAGCCTCTGATAACTGTTACACCGATAAAATCGATCTAGTGGTTTCTGAGATGGTTACGAAATGTATAAACAATTGTGTTTTTACACTCGGTTTTGGTCCGGAAAATAAGTACCGCACTTGAAAAGTGAAAGGACAAAATTCATGAGTCATGCGTAATTGTTATTTTTTCCATTCACTTTTAAAAGTGGGGTTTTAATTATAGAAGATTGGTGAAAAGTGGGGGGGGGATCGATATGATGTCCCCCTACTTTGAAAAGTGGGGGGAACGTGTCCCCCGTCCCCACCGATCGACGCCCATGGAAAGAGTGCATATGGGTTAATACTGTATTTATCCCACCTGTGCCTAGTCACATGGTTACAGTAAGTTATCGATTGAATTGAAAACACAGAAAGCTGCTAGATAAATTCCTGTCCTAGAAAGTTCACTGAAAAGTCACAACAATAGCCAAAAAAAGCAATAGACACACGCTCGCCCTGGGATCCTATTTTGTACATTGTTTGTAGACTAATGTGCTATACTTACATCAACACTGTAAACAATTCCAACAATTCCAAATGGCACACAACAGCATATTGTCACCAAGATAGCCATTACTAGGTAGTTATTTGGTCTGGTTCTCACTACAGTCACGCTAGTGACAGGCTGAACATTATATGCGCTGTGTGGTGCCCCATAGGGTGTCGTCTGACCGTAGGCTGGTGGTGCCTAGCAAAAAAAAACAAAGGCATAATAAGTGAATTCTAATCTGAAAGAGAATTAATATTGCCAGTAGCAGCAGGGGTATAACTTTCATCATCATCTTTATTTTCATCATCAAATTAATATTATCCATCATTCACAGTTATGCTACAAATTATATCATTATTAGCAATTTATTTAATTTTTTATTTTATTTCATTTCATTTATTTATTCAGAAGTTAAAAAGTAACATTCAAGAATAAAAACACATAAAACTAAAAAATGCAACTCATTTCCACTGTGGTTTATGATAATAATACTAGTATAATAATTAGTATAGTCTATCATCACTATTACAATGATTATTTTCTATTATATCTATATACAATTTATGTAGCGTACCGGTATTATTTATTTAAATATTTATATCATAATAATGTACATTTTTTAGTTTAGTTAGCTAGCTGTTTTAATGCTTTTCGTTATCATTATTCATTATTTATTCATATCATTAATATTTTAATAACATCAACTTACCTGTACGGGATAAGTATTGGCTGGAGCGTCTGAAACTAAATAATTGAGGACAGATTTTTAGTAAAACGTAATTCTAATTAGTAAACGGGCACCCAAGTAGGTTGATCTAATTTCTGTTCATTTTTTTTAATTTAAGCTTTGTTTAGAGAGGGAGAGCCATTCAACTGAACACCAAATCCAGCTGATATTCATGGCCGTCTATAAAGGGACCAAAATATAACCAAAAAAATGTGCCATGTATGCCCCTAAATCAATCAATCACCAATACCAAAGTCAGTGTGTCTGTCTGTTAGATTTTTTTTTTGTCATTCAGTCGGTCGGTCGGCCAGTCAGTCAGTGCAAGCCTGCAGTATACATATTGTAATAAGAAAATATACATCTATTTGTACTAAGGGGTGTGGAATATTTCTTTCAGTTCAATTATGAAGTTTGTTGACGCTATTAAGCTACTGAAACAAATAAAATCATAATTAATACAGATTATTAAGATTCTGAAATAGATCATTAGTAATAGAGGCGCTATTCATAAATCCCCATAGACTCCTACCTGCCACCCGTCGCGATTCCCGTTATCTTCGTTGGATCCTGCCAACAATTTCAACATTTAGCATTTTCTACTTTTGATCTTCAGATATATAAAATGATTCTAAATCTTAAAATACTGTGTATCAAAAAGTTTAAAGGTTCCATTACTACATGCCTATGTGGTAAAATAATAATAATAATAATAAAACGTGCAGCAACACACGTACACCACAAGTGTAAGTTTCTACCAGCCAAGAAAAACCGTTTCTATGTGGGCGTGTTTGACCAAGACAAAATCCGTTTCCGTTTTAAAGGTCCTTTCAAACACTAGCATCCCGGATGGGCATTGAACCTCAGTATTGTGATAGCGGGTAGGCAAAATCCGGTTCAATAATATTCAACGTAAAGTGTGACTTCATAATATGATATATAATAAATATTGTCTAATAATGATATGAGATGATATATGGGGTAGTTTTGCTTAGGATGTAGACGTATATCAAGCATATGATAGGCCTAAATGAGTTTTTGAGATATGTTTTATAGTAGTTTATGATGACTAATGTACTGTGTTTATAATAATATGTGGATATAGTATTATTATGTTTTGTTAAATTAGTGATTTAATGGCGTATTTAGGGTTTGTATTATGGTGTTTTTTTCTCTTTTTATTTCTCTTTTGCAGTTTTTGCCATTTATATCCATCCATAAGATAGACTTTTATATTGTATATGTTCAGTCATTGTAACAAAAGATCATACTTAAAAAAAACTGGAATATATTAGCATTTTTTAACATTTAAAAGCCAGTTTATATTGGTATGAACTATAGGCCTATCAGTTACTGATCCATATAATCATGACATCCTTTTGTGAAGTTAGGTAACATTACTGTTTTCCAATATTCATGATAAGAAATATAATAATAATAATAATAATAATAATAATAATAATTATTATTATTATTATTATTATTATTATTATTATTATTATTATTATTATGATTATTTCGATCACAGCTTTCAAATTCAATTTTTTTATATAAACATATAGGCTTAAGGGTAGGGTACCTCTGACTAATTTGAGACGGTATGTAATGCCATAAAATAATAACTCACTTTAATCCGTCACTGGATATATGATATATGTCCTACAGTCGATGTCAGAGACACAGTATGCTGTTATGTATCAACAAAGTTCTTTTGCATCAGGGTGATAGAGCGAAGACCCTAAGGGAGGGGCCCCGGGGGCCGGGGTTTGAGTTTTATTTCATAGATTTGATCAATTTTCTTTTTCCCAAAACACTTCACCATTCAATATGGTCATGGTGTAATACGTTTTTCCAGTACAATATTCCTCTCGGCATAATTATATTTTTTGAATTATAGGTCCCCTATTTCTGTATATAATTGTACTACTGTTTTAAATAATGGTATCGCCTTTAAACTATTATACTCAAGCTTTGGAATACAAACACAAACGTGTTGGCTCAAATAGATTTATTGGAAATTTCGGAAGGATTAGCAAGTTCATTTTTATACACCATACAGCGACCGTTCCAAGCTTCTATCATTTCTTCATCATGTCTACATATATATGTCTACACATATTATATAGTGGTGATATGGAGGGTTATATAGTATGAGTTGAACTCCCTATAGGAATATGACGAAATATTCGTCATATAATAAATTACTAATATTAATTAAAATTATTAATACATAATAAACTACATTGATGTTCCAAAATACGGCAACCAACGCTCATTGTTTCTCCAACGCACACTATTTCTGTAAATATGCTGTTTGTGAGAAACACATTTATTACGGTACAGCTTTCGCAACCATATATGTTTAATTAGATACGACTAACTCTTTGAACTCACCTCGTCATTATTTTAGAATCACATTAATTTCTTGTAAACACGGTCCTTTGATTGGCTGATTTTGAAGGATGGGCCACATCATTAAAAAATAAATTACGATCACAGCATGAGGAGATATGCTTACTGTTAATTGATATACTGTACTAGTTTGAATATATCTCATTTTAAATTTATTGAATCAGATATCCTTATGTAAAGTTAATCTGGTCGTAGTCAAAAAGAAGAAAGCCATTTTGTAATTCCAACAAATATTTTGCCTTTTTTTTATTTCCAAATAATAGAGTAATCTACTATTATGACTCTTCACCCCTTTCTCCTTTTTAACCGACTCTTTCCCAAAACACATCCTACAAAAATATAAGCATCCTCTTAAGCAATGACTATCCTGTGTGTGCTAGGCCTAGGCTTTACCAAGGAGTGGTGGTGATGTCAGTATGTTCCCGGCTGACCGACAGTGGTATGACAATTTTTGGTCGCGGGTCCAGCGAGCTAAGACCTATGGTTAAAACAGATTATCCCGATTTTTCTTTTTTTTGGTCCTAGACGTGGACGAAGGGGAGGGGGCCTTTCCTGTCCGACGGCGCTATAAAAAAAATCTGTTATGATTATAATCCTTATTTTTACTTAGTGTTTTACTATCAATGTGAAGTAAGTTTTAAATGTGATCTCATTTTCAACTTTATAAAAGAACGACAATTTTAGGTATATTACTTGGCCGGCCTACGTTTATCCAAGATTTTTGTGATGATCAGTAAGAGCATTGAGATGCAAATCTTCCTGGTAAGAGCATACTTTATGCTTTAAAACCCATAAAGACGAAAAAAAATTTCGAGTTAGCCTTTGTAAATTGTATACATTTTTATTTTAATTTGGCTTTACATTTACCGTTTTTGACAGGTAAACATATATTCAACAGTAACTATGTTAGTCTCTAACATGCAGGTGGTAATGACACTTGAATAAAATGTATTTTTATAAATTTAAATATTTGTTACAGATCCTTAAATGTTTCCTGAAATGCTAAAATAACATGTATGTCAGACCTATATATCCTAATGAACCAACCATGAAATCTTAGAAAAAGCAATAAAATGATAAAATCTTTAGAAGTAATATAACATAATACTTACTTGGTGCTTTTTCCATTGTGAAGATTTAAGTAGGTATATGCTGATGCAGATAGAGCGGCCTTAATGCTGTGAATACTGTCGCTATGTAAGATCATTCTACCCTTGCAGTTATAAGTATAAGCATTACGAGTAAATATTGCGCAACAATGTGCGCATGCCAAATTTTGGACCAATCAGAAAACGGGATCATTAACGAGCACTACTTTGTATCCGGGTGCACTGGAATTTTTTTGTAGGCCTCTAAAACGTCACTCCTGATAACGTTTGCGATGACTAACCTACCTTGCTGTAGATTGCCCTTTATTATCACACTAAACGGATTTTAACATGCAGGACATGGAGCGGAAATCATACAAACCTAAACAAATTTGGTCGTCTGGAATGGTTAACACTGGTCATGGGTCGGTGACCTTCAAAAGGTCCAGCGATGAGATCTGCTAAACCACGCGCCTCAGGATATTGGTTAAGTAACAATTATTGTTGTGTCTTCTTAATAATGTAATAATAATAATAATAATAATAATAATAATAATAATAATAATAATAATAATAATAATAATAATAATAATAATAATAATAATAATAATAATAATAATAATAATAATAATAATAATAATAATAGGCCTATGTCGTTCTTATATAACGTTTCATGCTTACAAAGCGCTTTACATTACTACCCCGGTCATTGGATCGAACACATAGGGAGCACATACTCAACACCAAATTAAATTATTAAATTTAATTATATTATTATATAATATTGCAGCTAGTAATCAGCGCAATTGTGTTGGGTCCTACCAGGTACCCACTTGTACTCCTGGGTGTACAAGTGGGAGTGTAAAGAAAGGGGGAAGGGAGTGAATAACTCGCAACTTGTAAGCTCACATAATAATAGTAGTAATAATAATCGAATTATAGACCCTAAAAGGATTAGATTCTTTCTACCACCAATAATTCAACTTATTAGCTTTCGATTCCATACATTGGGGAAGTCATGTGAGCTGGCATGATGAGCATTCCAGGCCGTTTCATGAGAATATGGGATTATTTACCTCTTGATATTAAAGATTCTTTTGTTTGTGATAGCTGGGGTACTTTTAAATGGAAAATTAAATATTATTTTAGACAATTTCATTCATGGGATTGTTAATTGCTTTATCCTCAATTGTACATATAATGATAATTCCATTTATATTGTTCTAATGTGATAACTTTTCTTCTTTTATTGGTTTTTTTTTTCTTATGTTTATGTGTTTCTACTTTCAATTGTACATTTAATGATTATTCAAATTAATGGTATTCACAAATTAATTACATTTTTTTTTTCATCAATTGTTTACAGTGATGACTAAATTTATGGTGTTAACAAATTAAGTATATTAAATATTGTTTATATAAGAAGATTGCTATTCACTTTTTTGTTTCTAGGCTTTTATAGTTATTTTTATTTATACATTATTAATAAATATTATAAGTAAAAATATTTTATAAAATTAATTTTGTATTAATATTTAATCTTGATTTTTCATTGTTAAATTGGCAAATTCCATTTATATTTAATTTGTGTTTTAATGTTGAAATTGGAGGGGCACATCATATCCGCTGATAGTAATTTTTGTACCGCTTTTGCCACTCCTCAGTCCTCCTCTTTCTTTGTGGCTTTTGTTTTGTTTGTTTATTTTTGCTGTTTGCGCTGAAAGGAATAAAATAAAATATATGGGAATATATTTTAACCGCATTCATTTCTATTCTTTGTATCGTAGGCCTATGTTAGCTTTTTTATTAATTTTCTTTTTTTGGCAAGAGATTAAAAAATTTCTCTAACTCTCAAATTTTAACATGAGCGGATACATCATTTCCTCGTTCTCTGCCATCCTTTTCTACTGTTATCCAAAATGTCTGTGGCTCTCTCTCTCTCTTTCTTCAGGTCTTTCGTTAAACTCTTAATGCGTGGTGAGAATGTGTGTTTACTTCATCTTATCATAAGCTTGTAGATAAGTTTATTGGGGTCCCATACCATATTTATCATAATAACTTTGTTGCTTTTGGATCACTAGGGCACATTTTGTCTGAATAGAAAACGAAAATGATTGAAATTAAATTTTACATTAGACTTGGACACAAGAGGAAGAACTCGGCATTTCTTTTCCTAGTTCCCCTTTCTGAGTGTTTCGTAAACTTACGCATTAAATTTTAATTCAAACAAATAATTTCTATTTCAAACACCAAAATACAAATAAACATTGTTTGACGAGTTTTAGTTCGAACAGCTCACGCCAATGGTTCCGGTGCACACAAGTCTTCTCGGATAAGGACTTTAAACCGTAGGCCCAGTGTACGCATTTGCAGGGGTGGCGCCAGAGGGGCCGGGGAGAGGCAGAGGTCCCCCCTCGGGCAAATCCTGGCGCCACCCCTGCGCATTTGGCTCGTGTACACTTTAAAGAACCCAGTACATCCTTGGAGAAGAGTAGGGGGTTACCCCGGTGTACTGGTACATTAAGTAGTCCCCTGTTGTTAAATGGATAGGCCTATGCCACGTAGACAGTGATTAAGTTCACTTATTGGCATATCCTTGGCGCTCGTGCCTGAAGAAATGAAATGAATGTTTGCATGGCGAACTAATAACTACGGTATATTAAATGCTTTCTACAGATATTATTCTCCTGATGACGATTGAAGCAACTCAATCGAAACGTCGGGACATTCCCAAAAAATGCAACAGTCCTGAGATTTCTGGTTTCATCAAATAACCAATAGGCCTACTATATTTGAAGCATTGTTCAACTTAATTTGTGTACAGTTAAATAGATAATAGTGCCTATAATAATAATTCTTAAGTTTATATAGCGCGCCATAGTCACAACCTCTAGGCCCCTAAAAATAACATGGAAGAAAATAAAACCATAAACAATGAGCCCATAGTATTGAAACTGTTTGATGGGGACCCTATTGTAATCCAAACATGCTTCCTCGGCGACCTGTCTCCGTCTACTAACTTCGTTCACAATTTTTCCTCTTGGGATCAGTTTTTAATTCGATTAAAATTTTAAAATGATTGTATAAGAATTAGCCTGAGTCTTGTCTATAAAACAATTTTCCGGACTAAGCAGAAGGCTGATTTATGCACAGTTCTTTTTTATCTAACATTATCAACCTGCTGCTCTCTATCTGAGTAATGATCGTATCTGACAGACTCGGTCAGCTTTGTAAGCCTTCTGTTGATCGTCTATATAGATTAAACTTAGGAGCATTATAATATAGCACAATATAAAACCATTTTCATAGTAATCAATGCCGTAGCTACAGTGTGGGACAATATCAGGGCGGATCCACTTTACGCGTAAATTCAAACAATGTTAAACCATTTTACGCAAAAATATGAAAAATCTAGACCCATTTTTTAAAATTTTATCCATTTAAGCTAAATATAAGAAATCTGGACATATTTTTCAAAAATTGGATCCATTTTATGCATTAAATTACATAATTTGGACCCATTTAAACAATGTGGACCCATTAGAAAAATTTTGTGGGACTGTCCGAACTGTCCCAATAGCTCAGTGGCTACGGTATTGATAGTAATGAAACATCTATAATATTGGAAAACAAACAACTTAAAACAAAAGTTTACAAGGTGATGATCGTTGAAGGCGTTTTTGTCTTAATTTCAACAGCTTCTGACAGGGAGCGTAATACATTTCCAGACAAAGTATCGCATGCTATTGGTTCGTAAAAAAGTAAATTTACAGAAGACAACCGTTCTCTTTTCTGACTGTTAGTGACTCCTTTGTATATGGATTGGCAGAACCAATAGACATTGCAAAGATCGATTATGCCCTTTTATGTTTCTGTAGGCATATAATGTGTAGAATACACAGTACATACCATACTGACTTATCGACTGGTTGAAAGTACGCACAAACTTTGGCTTATTATACAACGCAGGAGAGGATATTACGTTTTTATTCACCACGCAACACAGTACATCTTGTCACCTAGTATTAAAATATTTTTATTTATTTATTTATTTATTCAAGACCCAACAGTGTGTCAAACATCAAAAACAGGGTCGCCATAAAAATACAATATGATATAAAAAAAATATATGCCTAAAGATTAAAATATATATATATATAATATCACAAAAATTCATTTCTACATATTAAATATTAAGGATTACATTAAAGGTAGAAATATTACAATTAAAGATATCGATATTTGGCAACATTTTAACTAAATTGTTATACAAGAGAGCAACCCGACGAAAAATACCATTTTTATAAACATTTTTCCTAAATTGTACGTGACCCTACAAAATATTGGCGACCCCACTTGGGTCGCGATGAAAATTAACTCAGCCCCGTCGTGTTTGGATCACATTTTACTAATATGCATTTCTAGATGCCCGGAAATGGCACTCTCAGACTGTAAACAATGCTTTCTTAAAGTGCCTTTCACATCTATTCCAGTTCAGGTTTCGTTTTCAGTTCCGGTTCCTCCTCCGGTTTTTGTCAATTCTATTCAAATCTACTTCGTTTTCCGTTCCGGTAACTGGCATCACGCAGACGTCACGCAGGCAGTACGAGAAACTTGCGTCACTAATTGCATCGTATTGTTTATGTTTTGAAAATTTTCTTTTAATCTCATTTTTTCGTATTTCTATTTTTAAGTTTGATATTTAGTTATTTACACATATTCTATATATTCTATTATAGGCCTAAGTAGAATTTATTAGAGCTCAAAATACAATCAGCTTAAATTAGGCCTATGATTAAGTGCACGGTACGTAAGCTAGGCTTACCGATGGCGTGAGTTCATTGACATCTGCCTTAGTAACCTACCGTACATTTAAATAGTCTAGTTTTTGGTTCATTCCATGTTTCAGACAAATAAATATGAACCATGCAATACATATTCGGTATTGTAGGCACACTAGATATAATTGAAAATTCATAGTCCTTTTAATTAAATTCATTTTATTATTTAATGTCATACTGCTGTTATTTTATAGACCAGTTTTCTTTGTCAGTGCAAATGGAATAGTTACTGTATGTATGTTTTCTGCTTAAATTATTCTCAGCAGAACAAAAATGGATTCAAGTAGCGATGAGGATGAACTGATTG